GAACTAAAACAGTGAAATTTACGCTTTCCAAACGAGAGAGCGACTCGGGAAATGCGCTAAGGACGCGGCGGGTTCGATTACATGAAACAGAGGGTCTCTTTAGCAAAGTTACACGCGAAAAGGGTATCTTCTAATCCTCGGCCGCAGATCCGGAGATGGACGGCTAGAATCGGCTTGGGAAGGAAGGAAGGCCGGTTAATAAAGGACACCGGGCGGCAAGCTCCATGGCCGGCGGCAGTGTACTCGCCGGAGCGCGCGTTTTGGGGGCCACGGTCCATGGTTTTCCAAACCGAGGGCACCAGGAGGTGGCACGGGTTCATGCGAACTCGCCTAGGCCGGAAGAGTGGCCGGAGGGTGCGGCCGTGGCGGCGGTCGCCATGGCCGGCGGCAAGGAGCCCACGGTCGCACGCGAAACGGAGTCAAATAGCCATGAAACACGCTAAAAACTGCACGGGGAGACAGAGGGGATCAAGGGGGTTCTCACAGAGGGGAAAAACAGGGTCGGAGTTGGCTCAGGACGGCGGCCGCGCGGTGGTTCCGAGCTCGGTGGATGGCGGATCACGGCGTCCTCGGTGCGGCAGTTCCTCAGGCACGGGCGACGCGAGAGGTAGCGGGGAGAGGCAGCAGGGGTGCGCGTGGAGGGTCACGGCTCCCATTTGTAGCGGCCGGGGCGCGGGGCGACGTGCCCACATCTGGAAGTGGAGCGGCGGCGATTCGCTTTGATCAAGTGGGCGAAAGCGGTTGTGAGAGGAGGGGGACAAGACGATGGTGGGGGCCAGGCGCCGCGCTCAAGAAGAAAGGAACGAGGCGCGGCGGCAGTTGCCTGGCCCAAGCTGGGCCGGGCGGGCTTGGCCGGGCGAGCGAGGCGCCGCGACTAGGGTCGGTGGTGCGCGGAGAAAAAAAAAAACAATAAAGGAGCTGGGCCAACAGGCCGAAATGAGAGAGAGGAGGGAGTGAGAAGGATTTTCCTTTTTCTTTTTTTTTCCAAATAGATTCCCAAAATCACTTTCAAATAGATTTTAAATTCATTTGAACTTTGAATCAAGACCAATCATCACAAAGTAAATATGCAGCAGCATGCATGCATCAACATGTTTCTATCCTTATATTTGATTTTATTTTTAATAAAATTATTATTTCCTAAATTCAAATTCCCACAAAATGCAAAATTAATCACTTTCTCCTATTTCAAAAATATGCAAAATTTAGGGTGTTACAAGCAACAAGGTATTTTTTTCCCTTTGATCCATTTACTATAAATGGATTTTTGTAGTTGTGTTCATGGTACATGAAGATATGATCCCTTTCTGTTCATGGTACAAATCCATTTCCAATTCTTTGTATTTTTTCAGATTTAACTACCCTAAGAAAAGTGCGAGCTCCAATTCAGTTACACCAATCCAAGTTCTAATTCTTTGTATTTCCATATTTAACTATGTTGACAACAGTCTAAGCTTAGATTCAGTTACACCAATTTATCTTGGCCTCCTGTTACGGTTAAGTTCCCATGCTCCCATACCATAATAAAGTGATAATGTTAGCATATGCAATATTTTTCTAGGCTACCTACATTGTCCAGTACGTCGTACTAAAATTACATTGCCATTGTTGGCCCCCCTGTTACGGTTAGGTTCCCATGCTTCCATACTCTAGGTGCCTCAAATGTGTGCCTTATTCTACTCAAAGACTTCGATGCTTAACTTCTTCAGTGAGACTGCTGCAAATTTGCTACTCCTAATAAAGATTTCTTGCTTTATCTTTCCTGCTTCCTAGAAATACAAAGGTTGCTGGTGTTGCCTTGGATCCAGTTCAAAGAGCAGGTCATGATCTAGATTTCAACAGATGATGGAAACTGCACTTGATTACTGAAAGCAGATGCCACTCCATTGCAAGTGCCATTAGTTTGATTGATGCCTATTTTGGAGAACTTTTGATTTTCCCTTCAAATTTGTACAATGTCAGACAAGCATGTAGGCTACTGAACATTGGGAGGAACTTCTTTCTTGCTTGTATTGCTGAATCAAAAAGACCAAATGGAGAAGAGTTATTGAATAAGTTGACTTTTCGACTTCAGGAGCTTCAAAGAATTGTTGATGAGAAACAGAGCTTATCCAGCATGTTGGAACGTGAGTAATCTTTACTCCTTCAAGCAAAACTGTCATGTTCTTTTTGATGCCAGTGTTATGTAAACCAGCAATAATTCTGAAACCTATTCTGGACAGCAAATGTGAAATTTCTTGCGACAAAGTTGTGATGTCTATCAATATATAGGTGATATCCTTACTCATATATCATTTTCTTAGATGTCCAGTTATGAATGGGGACAACACAGTGAGTTTGTAGGAAATTGTCCCCTTTTTGTAATCCACTATAGCTTGCTGCACAATTAGATGTTAAGTGTAGAGCACCTTATCTTGCCTCTACTGTTCCATTATTTACATCTAGCATTTTGATTTTTCTTCCAAGCCAAATTCTTTTCTTTTTTTTTGTTGCCATTACCACACAAGAACCCTTCTTATGTGGATGAATGCTTCCAATTTATTATGACACACATAGGCGTCCCCATGGCCTAGGTCCATCACATGTGCCACAATTGATTGATTTAGAACACTTTATGAATCCTCTACTCATAATAGATAGCCTTCCCTTTTGCTTTCGGTTCCTTCAGGTTGTTACATATGTCCAATTCCAGGTATGCCAAAAACCATGTCGTCTGCCACTGCTGCTGCTGCCAACCTATTTGCCACACAGTGTGCAAGTCAATTGTCTGGGTTTATCCGATCGTATGCAGGTTAGTTATCTAATTCTACAAATTTTTCTTTGCTCCATCCCATGGAGTGTCTCAGTTTGCACATGCCTCCATATTCCATTTGAACATTTGCTTCATTGGTTTTGACAAGATGACTCAGCATTGTGACCACTTTACATAGCTCAACTTTAATACAGTCCTCTCCACGTATTAGCAATAATTCAATCCTCAGAATTTGTAAAGTACGTGACAATATAACTCAACATTGTCGCGACTTTACATGGCTCAACTTCAGTGTAGTCGTCTCCACGTATTAGAAATAATACAATGCTCAAAATTTGTAAAGTACGTTTCTTAGCCTAATTTAAGTCCCTATATATTTTTTAATGCATGAACTCAAGATACGTAGTCCAATGCAAAGAGTTGACCTTGCCATCACTAGATGTCTATCAAATGGATTTTCCAATAAACTACCTGTTACTTCGTAGTTTCATTAGAAAGGGTGGCATACATGATGCAGCATGTAAATAGAAAGTCGTCATCATGTATGGCACTGCACACCTAGATACCTGCTTCAACCATTCTTACATATATGAAACCCTCTTTATGAAGCCTCAGATGTCCTACTGTGCCGCCAAATTTAGCACCTTCATTCTATGATCCATATGTACTAACAACCTTTGTAATGCTATAGGTACAAAATAACATAACGGCTTCACCATTTTGTGACATGGACAACCCTATTTCGGAAGGGCTGCAAAACTTGCTATTAGCAATGGTTCCTGAAGACAACCACACCAACTTCTTTTGTACCTTTTACATGCTATTGTTCCTTTGTATATCGCGTTATTGATGAACCTGTCCTATTGTTTTACAAGGTATTGTCCCTCTCGTGTACTCGCATATGCGCGCGCCATCGCGCCCTGCACTAGTTCCTTACCAATGCTTGGGTTGATGGCCAACATTGGCTTCACCCTCAGTAAATCATAATCACTCCAACCCAATTGAAGACCTTAAGAAAATCTTTGCGGTGGGTAAAGTTTTAATAAAGATACTATGTGTTTTCCAACATGATATGATTGGTATGGACTGTATTCATTAATGGAAAAAAAAACAAGGGGAGTATATATAATGAATTATTCGAGAAAGTTAAGGAAAAAATGTAATGAATCCTCCAAACTATTTCTAACCGCAGAAAATGATATTCCAACTTATCCCTCCCCTGCCTCGCCACTCCCTAGGCTATGTAATTAAACAAGTAACTTGAAGCCACAAACATCATGCATCACCCATCTATCCCCACCCCCAAAAAAGGCTAATTAACAGCACCCCCAAGAATTCCGTTATTTAACATTAGTAAAAATAATGGAAATGAAGTAAACCTTTGTACATGCATGCAAACATACATTGAAGTGATGTGTAAATAGCTATGTTACCTATGACAATGACAATACTATAATGACATGGATGCGAAGTGCAGTGTCAATCTGATAGTAAATAATGTCACGTGTACATAAGGAAGTTCGGGTTTTCTTAAAATCTCTTTAGGCCTTGTTTGGATGCCTCATGTATTCGTCTCGATCCACGTGTATTAAAGTGGATTAAAATAAAATTAAACTAAATTCTATTCCAGCAGCCGAGGCAGATGGCGCACGGGCCGTCGCCGGGGTACAGCGTGTCTGTGACGGCGCCGTCGATGCTCGGTGCGGCCACCACTGCCGAGTGCGGACCTGCTGCTCCTAGGCCCTCACCCGGATCTTTAGGGCCAGTTTGGTTGTCGAAATTTTTGGCAAAACGACACTATAGCATTTTTATTGTTATTTAGCAATTAGTGTCTAATTATAGTCTAATTAGATTTAAAAGATTTGTCTCGTGGATTTTGTCTAAACTGTGTAATTAGTTTTATTTTTTATTTATATTTAATGCTTAATGCATGCGTCAAAGATTCGATGTGACGAGGAATCTTGAAAAATTTGGCATTTTAGAGGGAAAACAGGGCCTTACAAGAAGATCCAGCGACCTGTTGACTGTAGTTGAACCTTGAACGCGACCATTTCAAGATTCCAAGCGTGCTGTAGAAGCAGAATGCAAGGAAAGAAAGAGCTCGCCCGGCACAGACATGGCCAACCAAGTACAACTACAGATGAAGCTACCCGTGGGTCAAGAGCAGCACCAACAAAACACACGGGGGGCAGCAATCGATTTCCCAACAGCAATCCCCACGATGACGACGACGTTGCTTCACATCTCATCAATCCAGCAAAACCTTACAATGCCAGTCAACTCTTCTCGGACACGCCATCGTCGTCCCAACCAACGGCGCCACCGTGTCAGCACTCGACGGCGGCGCACGCGGCGCGCCGGAACCCAGGGGGCAGGTCGGGGCGCGGCTCCACCTGCCACCGCCGATGTCGTACACCAGCACCAGCCCTTCCACGGCGCCGCCTGAGGCCGCAGCCGCCGCCGCGGCGGCGGCGTGGCCCCTGACGGCGGCCACGTTGACGACCGCCGCCACGCGGTCGGCGCCCACGCCGGCCATCGCCACGCGCACCGCCACGCCCAGCCCCACGGCGCCGCGGGGCACGGGCGGCGCCTCGAGCGCCACCCACCCGCCGGCGCCACCGCCCCTGCTGCCGCCGCCGCCGCCGTGCCACCGCCAGAAGGAGAGGTCCACGGCGTGGCAGGCCACCACGTAGAGGTGGCCATCCCCGGCGCCGCACGCGCCCACGACGCAGCCGCCGCCGGGCACCGCCCGCGGGCGCGCCCACGCCCAGGCGCCTGAGGCCACGTGCAGCGCGTCCACCGACCCGGCGCACGAGTGCGCCTCCACCAGCGCCGCCGCCGCTGACCCTCGTCCTCCTCCCACGGCAACCCCTCCGGCGACGTAGAACACGCCGGCGGCGCCGGCGCCCGCGCAGCCGTACCTCCGGCGGGGTGCCTCCGCGACGACGCGCCACGCGTCGGCGGCCGGGTCGTACTCCTCGACTGCGGCCGTGCGCGCGGAGCCGCCCGCGACGTAGATCCGCGCGCCCACGGCGGCCGCCGCGAACTTGCTCCGCGGGAACAGCGTGGGCGCGCACGCTCTCGCCGCGCCCGTCAGCGGGTCCACCCGCAGCGTGGCGCCGCGGCCGACCAGGTACACGTGCCGCCCCACCGCGACGGCGCGCGCGTGCGCGAACGAGTGCGGGAGGAGCGGCGGGGGCAGGAGAAGGGGAAGCGCGGCGACGTCGAGCGAGGAGGAGGAGGAGGGGGAGGCGTGGAGGTGGAGGAGCAGCGCGCGGGCGGAGGAGGAGACGGCGAGGAGGCAGGGGCGGAGGCGGCCGCGCGCGCGGCGGAGGTGGAGGAATGCCTGGGACGCGAGGAGGGAAGCGAAGCGGCGGCAGACGGCGGGGAGCGGCGGGAGGGAGGCGCGGGGCACGCGGGCGAGGATCTCGAGCAGGAGCTCGTCGGGGAGCGCCGCGATGGGGGGCTCCGCCTCGGGGTCGGGATCCTCGGCGTCGGGGGCCGAGATGGGGATGGGGACCGGGACGGCGGTGTGGCGGGCGGGGTCCGTGGGGATGCAGGACCTGGCGAACCACGAGAGGCCGCGCGGGTGGCAGCTCTCCGCGGCCATGGCTGTCTGGCTGGCTGCCGCTGCTAGTAGATCGGAGGAGAGCGCACCTCGCGGCTCAGGCTCAGTCACTGCATCCCGTCAGTGCAGGCCGTCGTACTCTCCTAGCTAAGCTGCTGTTGCCGCTGCCCGCTGTGCCGCATTGGCCTTTTGGGGGAAGCCAGTGGGCTTGCTCTGTTTTGCGTGCAGTTTTGTTTGGATTTGGTTGGTTCACTCCATTGATTCGCAGGGGGGTTGACTGATTGGGCATGGTGGGGTGGCGGTGGAGCGGGAGGTGGGGGACGAGCCGTTGCCCACTGGGCCCGTGCTGGCAGTGGCAGCCTCGCACCTTCAGGCGAGGAGGGCCAGAGGAGATCGCGGCGCTTTTCAAAATGGGAAGGAACTGACTGAGCCTACGTTTAGTTCGCGAAATTTGGATTTTCGGTTACTGTAGCACCGTTGTTTTTATTTAGCAAATAGTGTCCAAACATTGACTAATTAGGCTTAAAACGTTCGTCTCGTAATTTTCCACCAAACTGTGCAATTAGTTTTTCTTTTCGTCTACATTTAATGCTCCATGCACGGGCCGCAAACATTCAACGTGACAGGTACTATAGCAACTTTTTGAATTTTAGGGTCCAACTAAAGAAGGGCCGAGATGGCTGCGTTTGAGGTGGTACGAACTTTGAAAACTGAAAGAGAGATGGAACTTTGAATCAGTTTTGGCAAAAGCTTCTTCCGGACTCACGAAGCTGAGTTGCGTGCAAGAGAGAAATGGTTTCTTTTGGTTCTTCCATTCTCTACGATCCTGGAGTAGATAGTAAGATAGCACAAGAAATGGTGGTTATGCATCCCTACAAGGTCTGACAACTTGGTTCGGCTGATGGTTTCTGCGGTTGATAAGCTGGCTGAAGCTGATTTGATGTAAGAGAAAAATATTGTTTCATGGCTGATAAGTTCAAGCGAACAGGGTTCGTGAAAACCTAAAAATAAGTCGTTTTACCGAGAGAATTATATCGAAACTCAGTACATGTCTTTTTAAGTTTATAACCAAATTTATAATCTTCTATTTTAAATTATAAGTCGTTTTTATGAGTCATTTTTTTAGATTCATAGATTTTAATGCATAACTAGACATAGCTTATATTTATGTGTATAGCAAAAACAATGTATCTAGAAAAGACAAAACAACCTGATGTTTGAAACAGAGAGTAGAAAATAGTATGAGCACTTATGTGTCCAAATAAGTTTACTATAAGAAATATACTTTTAATTAATATAATTGTATTTATTTCATATCATAAATGTTACTCCCTCCGTCCTGTAACATATTGTTTTATAACTCTTAAAATTTTACAAAAATATAAGGCATTCTATGTTGAATCCAGATTTGGCAAAGTTTGTTAATTAAAAAGAAAACCATAATGTAAGGAGGAACTCCTTAATTCGGTTTAATCCATGGATACATACTAGAGCGTTCTCTTAAGTTGTCTTAATTCTTTTTTTGAAATTTATTGTATTAGGATGAAGGGAGTTGTATTTTGTATAGTTTTGATTAAATTCTATGTTGTTTGACTCCTAGCGAAGTAAGAGTCATATTCTTGGTGGCGTTTGGATATAGGGAGTGCATGTGTGTGTTGCGTGCAAGAGAAAATTGGTTTTGGTTTTTCGATTCTCTATAATCTTTTAAGTGACCAATGGAGTAGTAGATAGCAAGATAGCACAAAAAATGGTGGTTAGAGTACCCTATATATAAGTTGCTTTAGGAGATTACTCTAAAATCAATTTAGGATATAGGAGAATATTGTTGTAGCAGATTATTTTAAATTTGTCTTCTATATTTCTTTATTAGGGGCAAGCGATAGGGGTTGTCTTCTTTTATTTGGGAGAGAGATTGCTTGTTGTACAAGATTTCTTAAAAATTGTAGGATAGGAGATGAAATAAGAGATTTGTTGTAGCTCCTCTGTCTCTTAAAACACTACTTTTTAGGTACATGAGATTGAACAGGATATTGATGGCGATGCTCTATGCAACTCTACAAGGTCCAACAACCTGGGTTCCATGAGCTAGTACGTGCTCCATCCATTTTCAATCGTAAATCGCTCCCCCTTTTCTAGATATCGAGACATAATTTATATTTAGTATAGAGAAAAACTATATATCTGAAAAAATCAGAACGACTTATAATTTAAAATTAAGGTCGTACATCTAATCCGCCAGAATATGTAGCAAAAATCCAAAAAGATTAGACGTAAATGTATATATTTTTTTTAAAAAAAACGTACTTGCGCCATTTAAAAAGAATTGAAGCGACGCACGTAAAAGCGACTAGTGTGTTGTTTATATATATATTGTCTTTCGCGGGTACATCATGCATGCATATGCTACTCTACTCCTACTATACGAACTTCTTCTTTTTTTTTGACAAGGACGAACCAACGCCATTGACCAACGATCTCGATTGCCTTTTGCGCATGTGCAGCTAGCGGTGGTGCCATCCTAGACTGGCCAAGCGGTCAAGAATGGTGGGGGCGATGCTATGCTAGTAGCGAGTGTCGTTTCTGTGTGCATCTGCATTTGGTCATCGACTCGACCGTCTCGACAGAGTCTGCAGATCTGGTCATGCGCGCTTTATTTGCATTTGATGCATATGGCAGGAGAATGAACCTTTTTTTGCTGGTGCATGATCTCATGAAGTGATGATGATGATATGAATATGATGCGCCGGCCGGACCCGGACGGTTACTGGCCGAAAGTCCGAAAGCAGCAGCAAGCGACTCTCCTCAGTCCCGGTGGCCGGGTTGTCCTGATCAATGCAGTGCTCGACGGCTTGCCAACATACGCCATGGGTGCCCTGGTACGGCCAGTTGGAGTCATGGAAGCTTTGGATGCTAAGAGGCGAGCCTTCCTCTGGAACAGATCAGACAAGACCACGGGTGCCAAATGCCTGGTCGCGTGGGAGAATGTTTGCAAAACAAAGGAGGATGGAGGCCTAGGGATCAAACGCCTAGACACTCAAAATGCCTGCCTTCTACACTCAAGCTCATACACAGGCTATACCATCCAGGGGATTCGTCATGGGCAGCTTGGGCAAGAACACAGGTCAGCCTCGTGGATCTCAGTGGAGACGTGACCGGGCCGCACTGGGAGGCGACGAGAGAGCTGCTACCAGCATACAGAATCATATCGCATGTCAGGGTTGACAATGGATATCACACGTCCTTCTGGCATGACAGATGGCTTGGAAATCAAACCCTGATTGAGGCCTTTTCCTCTCTGCACAGCCACTTTACCAAAGGAGATGCATCGGTGCGCGACGTGCTCAGCAGGGAATGGGACACAATGCTCCAACCCCGGCTGTCCAGACAGGCCCAAGATGAAATGGAGAAGCTGCAGTGTCTCCTATTGAGTGTGGACCTCGACGACACCCCGAACGATAGGGCCTATGTCTTCGCCAAGCAGGATGTGAAGCTGGCTGCTGGGGTGGCCTACAAAACTTCGGTTAGAGGAGATCAGAAACTGCCCTCCTTTGACTTCATCTGGCGTAACTTTGCTCCCCACGCGTGAAGTTCTTCGCCTGGCTGCTGAATTGCTGATCCAAGACAGAATCCAGTGCAAAACTAACCTGGAGAAGAAAGGCCTGCTGCCTGATGCAACCTGTGATATTTGCAAGAACCAAGATAAGGATGCAAATCACATAGTATCGGGCTGCTCCTTCGCTCGCTCTTTCTGGAGAAGAATAGGCTGGCAACCTAGAGAAGTACAGAGACTCTAGGAAACAAGAACGCCTCACAGGGCTCCCCGGGAGGCTAGCTGCCCCTACCTTCCTCCTCCTATGTTGTTGGGGGTTGTGGAAGCACCGTCACGATGTGGTCTTCAGGGGATGGCGCCAAGCGTCGAAAGACTAATTGCCACCTGCAAGAACACAGCGGCCCTATGGGAATGTCGGATGCCGAGAAGCTCGCCCGTCTTGTGTAACTTCTGGAGTTCTATTAGTGACATGCAATCTTGCCTTTTCTCCCTCGCTATGTACCTCTGATAATTGTGGCGCCACGCCGAACTCGGGTTTTGCCCTCCACCCACCAGGTGGGGATAGTTCATCCCCGTTGTTCTTAAAAAGAAGAAGAAGAATGCAAGACATTGACTGGGGTTGGGCCGGGGGTTTGGTGGTCAACTAGAGAAAGGACCATCACAAGAGGACAGAGGATGTGCTAACGGTGGAGTGGTCCTTGACCTTAACCCGTCTGATCTGTTGGACCATCCGGTCTTAGCCTCTTTCGAAACGTAACATGTTTTTTCCTGCCCTTTTTTACCAAAATAAACCGATTCATGCGTGTTAACTGATGTGATTTCTGTGAAATTCTTAATTTCCAAAGTTGTCGTAGTCTTTTTCTTCTTCTTCTAGTGCAGTAGATGACACCAAGAATTGTGGTTATGCAACTCTATAGCAGGGTCCAATCCAACATTCCAACCACATGCTATGCTATGATATAAAAAATGTTTACAGGAACCATCATGCTAACCAACACCATAATCGACCGACCAGATCGATGATCTCGATAACTTGCGGCACATGCATGTGCGGTGCCGTCGGGGACAAGTCAGTGTGAACGGTGTCTGTATCTAGAAGTCTTCCCTCGGCCAGCACTCGGCAGTAGATCTTGCTAATGCGATTTGCTAGACAAAAGCTCGTGCTTTAGCTGCAGGAAGCTCTATTATTTTTTCTGCTCGCGTTGTGGTAAAGTTGGCGGCTGATTGTGATTGATGCTCCGGCCACTGGCAGAAACAAGCTGAGTGCGTAGTAGCTCTCTCTCTGGCCTCGAGATGTTCTTTGGGTATACACTATACAGTGCTATCTGCATTTGCCCGCAACACTGGACTGGACGCCTGTCACGCACGTTCGTTTGAACCGTGTCCGTGTCAGCAAAGCAGAGCAGAGTCGTCGGTGCCGGCCCTGTGTGTGCGTGATGGTGGATTGGTGGTGAGCATGCCGCTGTCCTCGCTTTCTCCCTTCATTCAGCTTGCAGGAATGCAAGACATTGACTGGGTTGGAGTTTGGTGGTGGTCACTGGTCAGCAAGACAAGCACCGCCACGTACCCTGAATAGGACAGAGAATATGCCACGTACCCTGAACAGGTAGGGTGGGTGTAGAGACGTAGGGGCCGCGACGGCCGACGAGCACCAACCGAGAGCCATGTCGTCCACCCCTGCGCCGGGCGTCGCCGGCGCCGGCGAGGAGTTGTCCACGGAGGTTGTGGTGGTCCGGCACGGGGAGACCGCGTGGAACGCCTCCCGCATCGTCCAGGTCCGTCCGTCCGTCGCCGCCCCTCCTCCCGAGTCCTGCTGATTCGTCGCCGTCGCTCTGTCGATAGCTAATTCTCTGTAGTACTACTATCTCCCAAGTCCCAGACCAGACGACGAGAGGTGTTCAGAGTGTAATGGTTGCCGAGAGGGTCAATCCTTCAACTCCGAGATTACTGCAGCACCTCTCTGAGCCACTTACTAGCAGAAAACGATGGTACAGTATCTCAGTTCTTAAGCGGTTAAGCCTGTTGGATGTAGGATGAGGTCAACCATCTACTGCTATTGCAATTCTTCCATTTCAGTAAACTGTCAAGTTTCCCAGAAACTGGAAGAACTCATCCTTGACCAATTGACCAGGGGCAAATGGACCCGGAGCTAAATGAGGCTGGCAGGCAGCAAGCCGTTGTGGTAATGTCCGTTATTTGCACAAACCACGATGCAGAATGCAGAACGTGACGAATGTTCCCAATCCCGGCTCTAGCACTAACATTATATTTCTGCCAAAACCTGATGATCAACCTTGTAAGGTGGCCCGCCGGCTGTCGAGAGAAGCCAAGCCTGCCGCCGTATACTCTTCTGATCTGAAGCCAGCCGCTGAGACTGCTGAAATCATAGCGAGAGCTTGTGGTGTATCAAATGTAAGTGCTCACTGATGTTGTTTTTCTTTTCAACAAAAAAATAGAGTACCTGCATTCTGTATTCGTTCCACCTCTCGAGTCTCAAGTCTCAACAACATTTTGTCGGTCTCAGGTGGTGCTGAATGAGGCGCTGAGAGAGAGGCACATGGGGTATCTCCAAGAACGATGCCGTGGCTAAGAGTCCAGATTCTTTCAGAGGGTTCGATATTTTCAAACTCGCCGAGGGTTCTGATCCTGACAGCAGAAATCAAGAACTGCCCGTAAGTCTGAAGCTTATTGTCATTTTGCATTTTCAGTAGCAGAATTGCATGGAACCGCATCGCTTGTCATTTTGCGTTTTCAGCCCTGCCAAAGATCTGGCATTTGGGTCCATAAAGGCTTTCTTCATCCTCTTTTTTACGTCACAGTGGCCTCTGTTTCATTCAGATCTTGAATTGACTGAAGCCATATGTGTAGTTCAGAACAGAATGTTTTCAACCTGCTGTTGCTAGTTAAAACTGAATAGAATGTTCAAAACAACACAAGTTTCCCCCTTAGCCACCCGCAGCAATGCTAAGGGCCTGTTTAGATCCCTTCCAGTTTGGAAAATGGACACTGTAGCACTTTCGTTTGTATTTGGCAAAAAATGTCCAATTATGGACTATTTAGGCTTAAAAGATTCGTCTCGCTAATTACGGGTAAACTGTGCAATTAGTTATTCTTTTTACCTATATTTAATGCTCCATGCATGTGCCGCAAGATTCGATGTGACGGGGAATCTTGGGAAATTTTAGATTTTGGGTGGGATCTAAACAGGGCCTAAACCCATATCTGTAGTTCTGTGCTTCATTTGAAGGTCTTATCTAAACTTACGCTGATGTTCAGGGTGGTGGAGAGAGCCTGAATCAGCTGAATGAGCGCTGCGTCTCCTGCCTGAATAAGATTGCCCAAGAACACATTGGTAATCTGCAGATGTCCTCATCTCCTCATGTCCAGTATGGGAAACACTAAACTGAAGCTTCAAACAGGCTTAACAAATCAGAACAATCTATGTTACATTTCACTACTCCCTCTGAATAGAATATCTGCTCACTACAAGTTCTGAACTCTCAAGTGTTTGGAATCTCTGCTAATGCTGGTATTGCTACATTGTCAGGGGAGCGGGTTGTGGTGGTCTCCCACGGCGCAGCCATACTGGAGCTCTGCCGGCACACTGACCCACCCAACAGCTTCATCCGCAGGCACATTCCAAATACCTCGCTGAACGTTTTCCGTGTCTCCGGCGTCACCGCGCAGTGGACCCTCGAGAGGTGTGGAGACGTCAGCCATCTCAAGGGAAATGGCTTCCTGGAGGACTCGTTTGGGGGCGACGGGTCCTCGGCCTAACAAGTTCAGTTCTGCTGCTTCAGAACGAGTTCAGAACGAATAATTGTGGATTGAAATTGAATCATCTTCGAAAAGTGATTCTGATATTGGAACTTTATTTATTCCATTGTTTAAAAAAGAACCAGTAATTGGATTTTGAAATAAATTGAGCTTCCTTTGGCACCGACAAGTGAAGGACCGAAGAACAAGTGACTCAAAAAAATCCGTAAAAACTTTTCAAACCGGATTAATATTAAAATAGTATTGATTAAATAAAAATGTTAAAAATAAAGGAGTCGGCTCCTGAAGAGGGAGAGAGCGCGTTGCGTTGCGTTGCGGAGGCGAGGACTTTCCCTGTTTCCCATCATCGCCCGTCACCCGTCGCCACCGCCACCGCCACCGCCAGACCAACCGTCCACGCCGCCGCCCGCCATTCCAGCTCCTAACCTCACACACTCCACGGCACTGCACGCGCGGCTCCGGCCACCTCACGTGGGCTGCTGCTGCTCTGCTTCCCCGATCGATCCGGAGACTGACGCGGCGCCCCGTCGGCATGTCGGGCCGCGTGAGCGCCGTCAGGGACCGGTGCTTGGAGCTGGAGCGCGTCATCGGCGCCCGCGCCCGCTCGGGAAGCCTCGGCCTCGACGACGCGCTCAAGCTGTTTGACGGATTGCGTACCCACGCCAGGCCTGCCTCGGTTATTGCCTTCAACCATCTCCTCACCGCTGTGTCTCGTGCGTCGGGCCGGCGCTCCTCCACCTCAGAGTCAGAGCTCGTCGTCTCCCTCTTCAACCAGATGATCTGTGAATGCTCCATCAAGGTGACTCCAGACCTTTGCACCTACAGCATACTCATCGGCTGCTTCTGCCGCATGGACCACCTGGAGCATGGCTTCGCCACCTTTGGCCTCATCCTTAAGACAGGCTGGAGAGTGAATAACGTAGTAGTCATCAGTCAACTGCTCAAAGGTCTCTGTGACGCAAAGAGGGTGGGTGAGGCCATGGACGTTTTGATCAAACGAATGCCTGAGCTTGGCTGCACGCCGAATGTAGTATCATACAATACACTTCTCAAGGGTTTTTGCAATGAAAAGAGAACTGGGGAGGCACTTGAGCTGCTCCACATGATGGCTGATGATCAAGGTAGAAGCTGCCCACCAGATGTGGTGTCCTACAACACTGTTATCAACGGTTTCTTTACCGAGGGTGAAGTGGACATTCGGTTGAATCCCCCGATCCATCATTGCAAGAAATAGGTTGTAAGAATAATTGTGTTGATGAAGCATTCAAAATGTGTTCTAAGGATCTTCAACTTGATATTATTACTTTCACCATTATGATTGGCGCTTTGCTCAAAGGTGGCAGAAGGGAAGATGCCATGAATTTGTTTGGTGCTATCTCTTCTTATGGTTTGGTTCTGGATGCTGAGACCTACTGCTTAATAGCAGAAAATCTCATAGAAGAAGAGTCACTTGAGGAGTTCGATGGTCTGTTTTCAGCAATGGAAAAGAATGGTACTGCTCCAAACTCACGTTTGTTAAATGCTATAGTTAGGAGGTTGTTGCATAGAGGTGACATAAGCAGGGCTGGGGCTTACCTCTCCAAACTTAATGAGAAGAATTTCTCACTTGAGGCTTCCACTACTTCCATGCTTATATCACTTTTCTCGAGGGAGGAATACCAGCACCATGCAAAGTTTCTGCCTGAAAAGTATCGTTTCCTCAATGAAGCTAAGAAATGAGTATTATGTCAAAAATTGAATTGAGTTTTCAACTGCTCTGATCATCTTTATGTGGCATGTTTGTTGGAGTGACTGTTCTGGCTCTTTTTTTTTTTGCCGTGCTCTGTGGTATGCTTTGAATGATGAAATTCTCTAGAGAAATGTCTCTTGTTAGTGCACTTCAGCATCAAGTTTATCAACAGGTAGATCCTGTGGCCAGTCTTAGGTACCTCTTGAAGGAATCAGTTTGCAAATTAATGAGTAACACTGTAGTCTGCCTTTTATTGCATAATCTGCGAAGAAACCCTGCACTCTCAGCCATAATTTAAGCTTGGGTATTTTCCCACACTGTTAACAGTGGAAAACACTTTTTATATTTTTCCTCACACAACCTATGTTGACAGCAACAGTCCTATATTGCTTTATTGTCTTGATTAGTTTTTTTTTTCTTTTTTTTTCTCGAATATGCAGGAGAGCTGCGTATAATTGCATTAAGAAGAAGAGTTATAAAATACAACACGCACACCACCCACACACCCCTTAACTATACGCAGGGGAGCTCAGGAGAGCTGCGTATTATTGTCTTGATTAGTTACCTGTAAGACGCTCCCTAAGGATCTCACAGTATACGCTTTTCCATATGATGTGCTGATAATGAGTGCAACCGTGCATTGGAAATGAGGTTAGAATTTTTTGTTTCTCCTCTCCGCAATCAGCTAACATTTGCAATATCATTATCCTAAGGAAGCCTACCAATAAACATTATGTTAAATGACTTGAATCCTCAGCTTTGCTGATACATCTTCAAGTGACAAGTATTTTTTTTTTGAGTGATTATATCTGTCTCCTGATCTAATTTACTGGCCATGATCTGTGGCCTCCTTTGTTTTAAGAAACTGTCTAGGGAAATGGTGTCCTGTCAGTGCACTTCAGCATCAAGTTTACCAGGTGAAATTTATCTTTTGTTCAGCCCCAGATATGTTTAGAGGGGAAATCAATTTAAAAATCAGTGGGTATCACAACATTCTCCGCTTATTGTTGCATTATTTTGCAAGAGATCCTGCAATCCCCGTGAGAACAATGATCTGAACCTCTTGATGCTTGATGAAATTTGTATATTTTCAGGTTTGTATTGTTCCCTCACTGTTAGCAGCGTTTACTCTTTGTAATTCCATGGATTAAGAGACTAAGAACAAGCTCTAACAGTAACGTTACTATTTGTTTCATATAATACATTGCTTTAGAAGGTATTTCACCTCTTCTGGACGGTCTGCAAAACTGCAACGTTTTGATGTTTCGTATTTATTATGCAATGTGGGTATTGCCTATTATAAGCATGCTGATCATTTGTTTTGTGTGCAGTTCTGAATCAAACATGGTTTGGTATAGCATGGTTATTGATCAAAACATATTTGGCAAATCTGGAAAAGAAAATTTCTCTGCTGATCTTCCTCTGGTGCTGCATTGAGAAACTGCAAAATTGTGAAGCAGCCATGGGGGACTAGCGAGGAGGGAGGCTAGGCTAGCTGGCCGGAGAACAGCCATCCTCCTCGGATGCGCGAACCGAGAGCTATCCGAGCCAACACTTGAAACAGCGTGATCCATAGCTCTGGCGCCACCGCCATTTGATCCTCACCAACTCCGGGGACGTCGGCCCCCTCAACGAAGATGGCTTCCTTTCTGCAGGATGCATTTGACGGCCATGGCCGATGGCAACTCTGCGTGACAGCGTAACCACTGTCGTTGTCTATTGTCTGCCTCTGTTCTCAAGAACAAATGTTGCTCTCTTTCTCGTTCGATTGAAGTTGGAGGAAGCAGGCCTCTGTTCTTCCAAGGCTCACACTTGTTATCAGTGCAAATGATGAACAACTTGTACATGTTCACCGAAAGACTGAATCGCACTGCAGTTTTGTATTGCAAGACTTCGTTTTAAGTTGTAAGTCATTTTGACTTTTTGAAATGTGACTTGCTAAATTTTAGGTGCCTGAATTTTTAGGAATTTTGAGGTGACAATCTTACACAATCAACTAGTATATACAATTTAAAAAAAACATTTCACAAGAGACAATTTATAATTTTTTCTATAGTTAAACATTGACAAAATTATATGTTGGGAAGTGTTTTTAAATACATGGCATATATCTAGGTGTATTCTGCATTTTGCAATGTACTGTAGGAAGTAACTCCCCTTTTTTTTAGTGGAGAAATGGCAATCGGATTCAAAGGCCTGCAACGGCCTGGGCTGTGGAAGTCTCTGCCGCCTCCGACTCCAAGGGCGCCAGTGGATGGTTGGATGCGGCTCGAGGGCTTTACAGCCTCGCCGTCCAACGGCCGCGATGCAGCACAAACACAAAAAGCGTGCCGCTGGCCTCGGCTGCCATCGATTCGCGCCGCGGCCGGCCGCCGCCTCCACCTCGCTCGTGCAGTTCGTGCTCGCGCTCGCAGACCGCGGCCGCCGCCGCAGCGTTTGATGTCAGCGAGGCTCCTGCCCCGCGTCACCCCGCTCCTCCCGCACCGCCCGAGACCGAGCCCGGCCATCCCCCCCGCCCTCGCGGCCTCGCTCGCGCGCGTGCTCGCCGCGCGCGACACCGACCCGACCTGGTCCCGCTCCCTCGCGGCGCTCCTCCCTTCCCCGCTCCCCGACGCGCGCCTCGCCGCCGCCGTCTCCGAGCTCGGGGACGCCGACCCGGACCTCGCGGCCGCGCTCCTCTCCTGGCACCGGGCCCACCACCGCCATGGCGGCGGCGGCGGGCCCACCCCGCTCGCCCACTCGGCGCTGCTCCGCCTCCTCGCGCGCGCCCGCCGCTTCGACGCCGCGGACGCCGCGCTCCGGTCCATGTCCCTCGCGGGGGGCACGCCCACGCGCGGGAGCCTCGGCGCGCTCGCCGCCGCCTACGCGGACGCCGGGATGGAAGCGAAGGCCGCCGAGGCGTGCGCGCGCGCCAGGGACCTGCACGGCGCGCTCCCCGACGCGCCGCACTGCAACCGCCTGCTCAGGCTCCTCGTGGAGCGCCGCCGCCGGGGAGTGCGCCCGGAGGCTGTACGGCGAGATGCTCGCCCGGGACCGGGAGGGCGGCGCGGATGACTACAGCACCTGCGTCATGGTCCGCGGGCTGTGCCTGGAAGGGCGGGTGGAGGAGGGGAGGGGCCTCATTGAGGCCAGGTGGGGAGAAGGGTGCGTCCCGGACGCCGTGTTCTACAACGTGCTGATCGACGGGTACTGCCGGCGCGGGGACGTCGGGAGGGGGTTGCTGCTGTTGGGCGAGATGGAGACGAAGGGGATCATGCCAACTGTGGTGACATATGGTGCTATCATTCACTGGCTTGGGAGGAAAGGTGATTTGATGAAGATTGAGAGCTTGCTTGGGGAGATGAAGGCGAGAGGGCTGTCCCCCAACGTGCAGATTTACAACACTGTGATTTACGATTGTGCAAATGCCGGTCGGCGCCACAGGCATTGGTTGTTCTGAACCAAATGGTTGCAAGCAGGTTTGACCCAGATGTCGCCACGTTCAATACTTTGATAGCAGCGTTTTGTCGGGAAGGGATGTTGAAGAGGCCCTGAAACTTTTGAGGGAGGCCATTAGGAGGAGTTGGAACCGAATCAGTTAAGCTATACTCCTTTGATTCATGGCTTCTGCGTCAGAGGAGAGGCGATGGTTGCATCTGATTTGCTTGTGGAAATGATTGGAAGAGGGCATACTCCGGACGTGGTTACGTTAGGAGCATTAATTCATGGCCTCGTTGTTTCTGGGCAGGTTAATGACGCTTTGATTGTCCGGGAGAAGATGATAGAGAGACAGGTGATGCCTGATGCTAACATATATAATGTGCTGATTAGTGGTCTATGCAAGAAACGGATGCTTTCTGCAGCTAAGAACCTTCTTGAAGAGATGCTTGAGCAAAAAGTCCAGCCTGATAAATTTGTGTATACTACTCTGATTGACGGATTCATTAGGAGTGACAAACTCAGTGATGCGAGGAAAATATTCGAGTTCATGGAAGAAAAAGGTGGCTGCCCTGATATTGTTGCCTACAATACTATGATAAAAGGATATTGTAAGTTTGGAATGATGAATGAGGCGGTTATGTGCATGAGCAGCATGAGAAAGGTTGGGTGTATCCCAGATGAGTTTACATATACTACACTTATCGATGGCTACGCTAAAAAGGGCGACATAAAAGCAGCTCTTAGGTTTTTATGTGATATGATGAAGCGAAGATGCAAGCCAAATGTTGTTACATACGCATCACTAATATGTGGATACTGCAACATCGGTGACACAGACAGTGCAGAAGATTTATTTGCAAGTATGCAGTCTGAGGGTCTATTTCCCAATGTTGTACACTACACAGTTCTAATCGGTAGTCTCTTTAAGAAAGATAAAGCAATCCAAGCTGCGGCGTACTTTGAACATATGCTGCTTAACCACTGCTCTCCTAATGATGCTACAATGCATTATTTAGTTAATGGGCTCACAAACTGTAGGTATGGTATGATCAACTCAAACTGCAGTGATACTGATCAGGCTCATAAGAAGAGTGCCCTTTTAGATGTATTCAAGGGATTGATTTCTGATGGATTGGACCCAAGGATTTCGGCATACAATGCTATAATCTTCAGCTTGTGTAGACATAATATGCTTGGGAAGGCAATGGACCTGAAAGATAAGATGTCTAACAAAGGCTGCTTGCCAGACCCTATAACCTTTCTTTCACTTCTTTATGGATTTTCTTCTGTTGGAAAATCAGGGAAATGGAGGAGTGCCTTACCTAATGATTTTCAGCAGGATGAATTTGAGATAATCTGCAAGCGCATGACATTATTCAATCAGCATGTAATTAGTCCAGTTAGAGATGAAGTCTCTAGGATTTTACAGCTATATGCTGAGGAGTTTCAGTTCCTACAACAACCAGAGCAGAGATTTGCTGGATCTTGACTCAGTGTCGTGGTTTACCTGGCTCTTGGGATCAGGGTGTAACTATAACTTGAATTTTGGCTTCAGCAACTGGATACCAAGCAGAACTGCAGAATAGCATGATTTAAATGCCAAGCAAAGTTGTTGATAGAGTGTTTCCTCAAGCACTCAATTTCAAGACTGGCAGTGCAATTAAAGGGCAGCCCCAGTGCACGTAGCTCCCGCTTGCGCAGGGTCAGGGGAAGGGTCTGACCACTTGGGTCTTTTGTACGCAATCTTTCCCTGCATTTCTGCAAGAGGCTGTTTCCAGGACTTGAACCCGTGACCTCATGGTCACAAGGCAGCAGCTTTACCACTGCGCCAGTGCAATTAGCTAGACAAAATTTTCGCTGGAGATCGTCCTTGAAGGTAGCAATCACAATGTGCATAGTTTGTCTTTGGAGAACTTTTACAGTGCATTTTACAACCTCTTGTTTATTGCCAAAATGTTGTGACAACTGAACTCTAGTAATGTTTGCCACACATTTTGTGACAAATGAACCATAGTAAATTTGCTTGAAGGTGTGTTGAATTTTTCTTTTTAACAACAACCTGTTCATTTTCTGAAAAGAAATAACTTTCCAATCTGAGAGCCTCTTACCATATATTCACATTGGTTTTATTGGCTAATGTCATTGCAGCATATTTTTCATTATCTATGAGACTATGACTATAACTCATTATTTCATCTTCTCTGTTCATACCACTATATTTTGGATTGCTTATAACACACCAACTCATCAGCATTGATGCAGTACAGTGCAAGCAGCAGCGGAGCATCATTGGGGTCAACACAGACCATGGCCACCCCTGCATATGAGTAATTTGGTGAGGAAACTAGTAATTTTAAAGCTTTTTGTTGGTGATAAATTGCAAGTGGCTATGTCTAACTTGGCTACTTCATCATTGGCCCCTCGCCTTGTCTGAGATTTAAAGCAAGCTGTGCCACTGAATGCAAGTAGAGGAATGCCACATATAACATCGTACTACCTACAAGATTTAGAGGTTTCTGAGGAAGGAAAGACTGTAACACTGATCTTTTTTTACCCCAACCCAATGGTACAGAGACTAAAGTTGGCTTTCTTTAGCTTGCCATAATTTGTCAACATTTTTTTTCTAATCGATTAAAATGTTATATAATTTTTTCTCTTGTATCTGGTTGTTGCCTTGTTGCTAAATTCATTTCTCAAGGGAAACTAGTTAACCTTTTTTTTTTAAAAAAAAATCCTTTCAATGACTGTCACATGCATTGAGATGCAAAGTCACATAAGGATCTGTCATAAGGGAATCATGGTCGCAACTGTTAAAGCTCAACAACACTGAAATGCCTTGATGAACAAAACCTGAGCAACTATATGCTGCCCTGCATTTGATTCCTGCTTATTTTTCCTCTTTATATTAGAAGGTACGCTAATTCTTGGATTTTTTTTTCAGGTAAGCAAATTAAATGAGCCACTCCCTCATAACAACACAGTCAGAACAAGGCACGGCAGCACTGTTGAACTTTCCCAACCTATAATGTAGGACATTAGCCAAAATATAAGTTATTTGCATCTGCATATACTCCTGTACATAGTTGCTGACCATACCATACTGAGCTACTGACCGTGTTAGCACAAGAGGCCGCATGACAAAAACTGTTCTACGGATTATCATCAGTAGAAGTAGGAGCTATGTATCCCAAATATTCTGTTGATTTAGTACAAACCTGTCTATTGGAGACAAAAGGATCCTGACAAAATTAAGGCGTTTAAATACTTAAATTAAATGCAATTCTGATGTTTCTTCATTGCTGGCAACTTGAATCTTTACCACCGATGTAAGCATGTGCAATGCAATATTTGATATGTCTATTTGTCTATATGTTGTGCAGTGGAATTTTTTCCGGGATTACACATGTGCAGATGTGCGTATCATTATTGTTATTTCCAGAAAGATAGAAATATTTTCATTTGTAATTTATTTCCTCTTGAGAATAAGGCAGACACATCATTCTATTGGTTGTGTACCCTGACCTTAAGATAATGTGAGTGCTAAAATGTTCCGAACAGTATGACTTCCATGGCCCATGGATAGGCACATATATACATGCCAAGCTGTTTTGAGTCTTTGTGCTTGTTGTTATTGTTGACCAAGGGCTTAGTTGGTTGACATTCAAAATTTGTCATACCAAAGATTTGACAAGCCAAAAGTTGGGCAAAAATACTGTCATAGATTTGGCAAGCCAAATGTAAAAGTTTGGTAAATTTTGATAGTCAACCAGATACTAGCTAAAATCATGGTTTGTCAAATCATTAGCATGATAAATTTTGGAAGCAAACTAATTAGACCTAAGATACGCCATACGATACGAGTATACGACGACCTTGCACTTACAGGATGAGGAGGTTCCGCGTTGACTTTGGCGTCGGGTAGATGAGAGTCAACAGTTGGAGGCGGCTCTTCACCCAGTTTTTTTCCCCCTCTCAGCTCAGGGGTCAGTGATCGTCGCACGGCACGACGACGCCATCTCGCACTGTCGCACACAAGTTTGACCTCTGCTACTGCGCTGCTGCATGCATCCACGTCGTAGAATTGACCTCCGCTACTCTGCTGCATGCAGCCACGTAGATGTAGGGGTTGGTGGTGCCTTTATCCCCCGTACAGTACAACTGAGGCTGCCTGCCTGCGTTGCCTGCAGGGCTGCACACGGTTGCACCGTGCACGACTGTGCGTACACCAGAGGCCAGTAGACGACCGTGGACCAAGGCACGTAAGTGCGTCGTCCTCATCAAGTGAGTAGTGACGTGTCCTCATCCGACTATATTCCTCGTCTCGCACCGTTTGGATCGGCCAAGTACGTCAACCATTGCATGCAGCCTTCAATGCACCTATCTCCTGTATACATGCACGCATTTACGAGGACGCACGGATCGATGCATGGCGAGCTCGGCACCAACCACGGCATCTCCAAACCAGACCGGTTTCGGTTTGCAAGTGTGAAACCATGCAGGTTCAGTTCAGGCACACGACGACGTTCCACGACACACACCACTATATATAGACTGCCATTGCCTACACACTGCCGGCACCCACCACCATCGTCTTCATTCAGCTAGCTGTTGCACACTCACAAAGTCACAAGTCGATCTTTCGATCACAAAGCTTCACTCACAAGTCACAAGTGTTAGCTAGCTAGCTCACTAGCTAGACAAGTCGAGAGCCAGCATGGACGTGCAGGTGCGGCGGAGCTTCGTGATACCCGCGCCGGCGTCGGAGCCATCGACGGAGGTGCCGCTGACGGTGTTCGACCTCGTGGCGCCCACCTACCACGTCACGGTGCTGTTCGCCTATGCCGCGCCCAACCCCACCAACGCGGCGCTCCTCGACGCGCTCGCCGCCACGCTCCCGCGCTTCCCGCTCCTCACCGCGCGCCTCGTCGCCGACGACGACCGCCGCCCGTTCTTCGTCTCGGGGAAGGGCGGGGCGGGCGCGCTCGTGGTCGAGGCCACGGTGGCGTCCGCGCTCTCAGACCACCTCCCGCTCGCGCCCGCGCCGGAGCTCGCGAGCCTGCACGTGCCGGTCGGCGGCGGCGGCGATGGCGACGCGTTGTTGCCGCTGCACCTGCTCATGCTCCAGATCAACCGCTTCGCGTGCGGGGGCCTCGTCATCGCCTCGTCCGCGCACCACCAGGCCGCCGACGGCTACTCCATGTCCACCTTCTTCCACGAGTGGGCCGACGCCGTCCGCGCCAGCAACAACGGCGCTACTACTACTAAGCCACCACTCGACTACGTCGGCGGCGGTCTGCTACCACCGGCGCCGTACGGGCCGAGCGCCATCGTGCCGCGCCGCCCGCCGCGGTGCGAGTTCGAGCACCGCGGCACCGAGTTCCTGCGCCCCGAGGACGCCGCCGCCGGCAGGCCCGCGCCGGTCCGGGTGGACCCTTCGGAGATCGCCAACGTGCTGCTGCACCTCCCGAGCGAGTTCGTGGCGGCGCTCAAGGAGAACGCCACCGCGCCGCAGATGAGCCGGCTGTATACGACCTTCGAGACCGTGTCCGCGCACCTGTGGCGGAAGATCACCGTGGCGCGCGGCCGGGCCGACGACGCGTCTGATGGCAGGAATCGATCACAAACACACAAGAATATCAGTGGCTAGCCTAATGAATCGAGCACAGATCAAATCGGGTGGAAGAATAGCAAGAACATGTGGTAACCGCCACCAGGACAACAGGGTGACTGCGCCCCTTTTCGCTCTCAACCACGACGAGTACAACACACAGATACAAGTGTCTGAGACTCTCACCAAGACCTCTTACATCAGGGAGCATACATCAGCTCCTAACTCACACACTCACACAGAGAATAAAAACTGCTAGACACGATACAAGACGCTCCAAAACACACTCTTCAGGCAACTGCATGTCAGTGGACGCGGTGACCGCGAACTGCCGTTCCCGCTTGACTTGGCACAATTCAAACTTGAATTCTCTCGCCTTCTCCACCTTGCCTTCGACTGAATTAGGCTTTGAGCATCGACACTGACAGGTTTACACTAACATTCTCCCCCTTAAACCTGTCAAGCAGTAGCACCAAGATCTCTGACACCTAACAAGTGCCTCATCACCACCAGTTTCCCCACCGGCAATGCCTTGGTCAAAGCATTAGCTTTTTGTTCATCAATCAGTACTAACTCTCTTCACAATGATCTGACCCCTCTCCACACACTGTCTGATGAAATGATATTTGATATCAATGTGTTTACTCCTTCCATGAAACACTGGATTGTTCATCAGAGCCCTTGCTGAATTGTTGTCAACATAGAGAGTTACTGCACTTGGTTTTTCTTCAGTGATTTCACTCAGCAGATTTCTCAGCCATAGTGCTTGCCTTGCTGCAGCAGTGGCTGCCATGAATTCTGCTTCACAGGATGACAGAGCAACAGTCTTCTGCTTCTGGGAACACCAGCTCACCAAATTCTCACCTAGGTAGAAAGCCATT